ATTCGGCCTTCTTGACGCAAAAAACGCGGTAAAACACCTCACCCACCCCCCTGCCAACCCAAATCCCAAAAGTGGCACGCCTTCCACGGCGGCGAAAAGCTCGAAGGCCTACAACAAGCTAGGGGCGAAGATCCGTGAGATGACAGGCGGGGTGTCTGAAAAATAGGAAGGCCTTAGAGAGCTTGAGGGTCTTAGCAATGTAATGTTGATTAAGAGGGTTTCCAAAAATGATTAATCTTTTTTTGGGGCGTACCAAGGATAAGGATTAGAGTATATTGGGGTCCAGACTTGGGGCCCCCGATTAACCCCCCTATAAACGGAAACCCTCGTATTCCTCACCGGCGACTATACAGACATGAGTTTGTGACGTTACACCTTCCCCCTTAATTAGAAGACATCCCGCAGCACCTTAATAACAGATATTCCCACCAGGTGTATAGTGCCACTATGTGGGGAATATTATACATATATATTACTTGGGAGAGGGGATACGTTTTATATGAGCTGTAGTCAAAAGTCCTAGTATCCTCCTGAATGACCGTTTTGTAATCTCCTAGATATCCCCTCTTTCAGAAGTTTAGACTATAGCTCATATGCACACACAAATATCTTAAAACTCTACAAGCCCAATCAAGGCTCATAATGAGGACCCGGGAAATGGTAGGGGCCCAAGCTGTCAGGCTATAGTTTTAATATAGGGGCCTAAATTATTATGAATGTTATGGTTCCATATTCCTTATATAATTATGGTCTATGGTACCTCAAATGGACCTCAAAATGATATTGATAATTATTTAGGCCCCTGAACCCTATTATAATGTAGTAGTTTCCATTTTCTTTTCCACTATCCCAATATAACCCTAAACCCTAAACCCCTAAACCCTAAACCCCTATATAACTCCTTTAGTAGGGTTTGTTCCTGAGCTCCCTAAGCCGCTAAAGCCTAAACCCTAAACTGCTAAAGCCTAAACCCTAAACTGCTAAAGCCTAAAAACAAAAGCCAGGTACGGAGGAAGGCAAGTGTCCCTTTGAGAAGGGTGCGATGGTGGGTTGTGCAATGTTCCAGGACTTCTGGGTTTAGGGGTTCTGGGTTTAGGGGTTTAGGGTTTAGGGGTATGGGTTTATGGGTTTAGGGGTATGGGTTTAGGCGGTTTGGGGTCTAGGTTAGGTCAATCCCCCCTTAGTAACAGCTCCTTAATATGGAGTTAACAGGGCCTTAGTATACCTACAAGACTCCCTTTTGGTAACCATTACTGGTTCACCTAAGGTCTAGGCTGTAGGGACTAGGGGTTTAGGGTTTAGGCTGTATGGTTGCGTTTAATCCTAGATTTGGCGGCTGGCCGCAGCACTTGCTCAAACACAATTCCTGCTAAACTGGAGGTTTACGGTTTAGGGTTGAATGGAATTCTGTGTTACGGTAAGGAAGGAGTCTATCAGGAGTTTAAAGATCCTTTCTTGGTGGTAAGAGCATGAAACAGGCACCTTCGAAGCATGTAGTGATGGATATGTAAGTCAAGACAGCAGCAGCCCATTTTAGGCTTAGAGGCTTTCAAGTTTGCGCTAGGTTTATGGGCTTCGGGGGTTGGGCTTGAGGCTTCCAGAGCTAATGTTTACGTGTAGCTTTCTACAGCGGGGCTTGTATCCTTACGTGTGTCTGGCGTAGCCCCACATGAGCCCAAGTGGGAGGGTTATAAGTATAGTACATCCCAAGAACCTCCAAAGCAATAATGTTAATATTAGTAATACTAGTAATACTAGTTGTAACAATAGTACTAATAATAGTAACAATAGTAATGATCATGGTAATAGTAGTAATAATATTAGTACAATAAAAGTAGGGGTTTGGGGCTTCTGGTGTGAAGGCCAACCCATCGAATTAGCTGCTCATGTGTCATCATGGTTCTTGTTGCTACGCCTAGGAGTCTTTCAAAATGGAGGCCCGACCCTTTAGGCTTCGGTTTAGGTTTCAGGGCTTACAGATGTCTAGGGCTTAGGGTCCCTAAACCCCAAACCCTGCACCTAAACCCTAAACCTTGGGTACTGCCCCCCCAGTAACAGTCTATATTAGGGTTCCTATTAAGGGCTATATATATAACCATATTATAATTCCAACTTACTGAGGGGGGCCAGTACCCAACCTAAACCCTAAGGAGAAGTGCAGGTGCAAGAGCTTTGTCCAGAGCTGCAAGCGCAACTTCAAGAAAGATCCATATCTCAGTGCAGTTGGCCAATGTGGGATCTTGGGCTGCTTTTTAGGGTTTGGGGTTTAGGGTTTAGGGTTTAGGGTCTCGGAGTGTCAGGGGGACGTAGTAAGTAGGTTAGAACCACCTATAACCCAAGTAGTAGCCCCAGCTGTCCCCCATATTAACCTACTTACTTAGTTCCCCTGACTCTCCACGTACATACCTTTCATTTATTTTGTATATAGATATTTATATACACACATAATATGGAAACCCAGATAGACACATATAGACACTATATACTACATATCGGTAGATAGATATAGCCGGATCAACTAGGGCAACTTAGTTTAACTAATTTCACCAGCCATTCAGGATCAGCCGAAGATTGATCTTCGGAGCTGGTTGCATCACAATTGCTGCGATTGTTGCGCTCTATCGGCACAGGCAAAAATCCACTCCAGGAGTCGATGAAAATGAGGAAGCTAGGATTTAAGGGTTTGGGGTTTGGGGGTCCGGGTTCAGGGTTTTGGGGTTAGGGTTCTGGGTTTAGGGTTAGAGATTTGGGATTTAGGGTTTGGGGTTTAGCTTTTAGGGTTTAGGGTCTAGGCGCGATTGAGGAAGTTAAGCCAACGACGGAGGGGATTTTGGATATCCCAGCCCCTATATCAAGGACCCCCATAAACATCGAGCCTCTAGGGGTTGGGTCATTGAAGCCCGCATACTAATCTAGTTGCTACACTGCGTAGGCCCCTGGGATGTTTATTATTTTCCCTAATGGCTTTAATAAGGGACCCTATATACTAATATCTTTCAAAGGGTTTTAGGGGCCAACCCAGTACAGTATTAAGCAAGTTACCATTACATGGCTATATGGTGAATAGTGTGGTTCCCTTCTCACGGTATTTTGGGGCTCAAGTTCCTGGATCCAAAGCCCAGAACCCTAAACCCTAAACCTGAAGCCAAGAACCAGAACCCTAAACCCAAAAGCCAGAACCCTAAACCCTAAACTCCCTAACCAACTCAGGATTACCTGGGTTATCAGCCCATCGCTCAGTCGATTCAGTCGCTGCCTGAGCCTGGGCAACCTACGCCTATGCCGCCTCCAAGACCCTTCGTTCCTCTGGCCACCAGAAAATGGAAATTGCTATAATGGGTTCTACAGGGTTTAGGGTTTTAGGGTTTAGGGGTTAGAGGTTAGGGCTTGGGGTTTAGGGCTCAGGGATTAGGGCTTAGGGCTCTCCCCAACTGGTGGTTCATGTAGATAGCATCTCTCAGCAGGCTTTTAATTTGGGATCTGGAATTATTCTAGTTTAGCCTTAAACCCTGAGCCTGAAACCCTAAACTCTCAACTCTGAGCCCTAAACCCTGAACCCTAAACCCCAAGCCCTAAACCCTAAACCCTAAAACCCAAAACCCTATAGAACCCATTATAGCAATTTCCATGTTCTTTTCCATTATCCCTATGTAACCCCTATACTATCTCTATATAACCCTATATATCCCTAAACCCTAAACCCTAAACCGACAGGTTCCTGGGCAAGAAGCGCATCTCGACGACATGGCTGAGTGGATTCCGGTGCCTCTTCCTGCTGCTTCTCCCACGCAAGATTGACTTGAAGAATTTTCTTCATGATGCTGCTGGACTCCGTGAGTTTGAGAAACATCATGTAGGACGTAGAGTCAACATTTCCAGAGAGTCCGAGTTGCGCACCACTAGCTTGGCCAGCATCGAGATGGCCTTCTGTATTTCTTGGAGTGTTTGGCTGGTCCTTGCCAGCGCGTCTTCCCGTCGAGCCCTTAAGGTTTGGGGTCAAGAGTTTAGGGAACAAGGGGATATGATCCCCATATAGCCCCTTTACAATCTATTCCCTTGTACCCTGCTTCTTCCCAGTAAGGAGACATCAGCTGAGGAGCAGCCAACAACTGGCTTGACTCCAGCGCGGTGAGCTGAAGACGTGAAATTCTGGGAGAAGTGCTGAATCCTTGCAGTGCTTTGGGTTGCTGAAAAGAATAACCCGGTTGTAGTCATTAAGTTATTTTGGCTTAGAGTTTTGGGTTTTTGCGTTTTGGGCTGTAGGTTTTTCTACATCGCGTGGCCGCCTCGGCCGGCTGAGTAAACCCAAATCAGCGCGTCCTGATCCCCACCTCAGAAGCCTGGGTATCCAACAGACCGAGCTACTTTCCCCTAAAGTAGATTCAGTTCACCGGAAGCAGACTATAATCAGACAATTTAACTCTGGAATCCATACCGCCTACAACTTGTTGCCCGTATGAGATCTGGTCAAGGAGGCTTCTTCTCCAGCCTTGTAAGCCCACTCGCGGTATGCAACAGGAACCTGTGAAATTAGTGCTTATCCTCGCGTACTGCTCCTGCAAGAAGTGGGGGTTTCCCAAATTAGGGAGACAATTTTTTCAAAATCCTGCTAACGTGGGTTATAGTATTTGGGGGTTTATGTTGGGGTCCTCATTTTTAGGGAAACTACCAGATTCCAAGAATAACCCGGTTTTTCAGGTGGTGCTCCTCTTTTCTGCCCTCGCCTTCGCCAACCGCGTACGATTCTCAGCTGGTATCTGCCAAGAAGTATAGCGATCTGACAAAACATTGCCTTTTCTTTTGCGGATCTATGTTATTTCAAGGTACGGTTGGCAGGTCCAGTGCTTTGAGGCACAACCAACTCTGTAAGAGAGGTCGGTTGGCAGGGATTGATTAGGTTTCAGGAATCTGAAGTGCTACGGCTTCGGGTTTCGGGTAAGCTACATGCCTGCGTCAGAGATTCTGGGGATAGGGAGGGGGGGGGTTCCAAAAAGAGGCGCCCCCTCATTTGCCCCCAAAAAGGCGACAGCCCGATATGCGATTTTCTCAGTGGCGCTAGGGACTTGTGTTGAAGTTACACCATTAGAAGGAAATCCCGTTATTTGTTTTCTATGTGTAACCCAAACCATATACAAACTTACAAACGGCTTCCGTAATTCCTGAATTTGTGAGACTCCCACCCACCCACACCCACAGGAGGCAGGGGAAGACCTCAAATCATGCCTCTTTAGACCATAGGGGGTTGGGAGGAAGCAAGCGCACGAATATATATATATATATATGGTAATTTCCCAAAATAGCCAAAACCCAATATAGACCCCAAAATACTATAATCCTTATCATGGGGATCCCAAAAAGGTACAGGAAAAGGTAACCCTAATTTTGGGAAACCCCTATACATGCATATATATATGTGTGTATATATATATATATATACATGTATACATATTTCTGGCGTTTACTTCCAGTCCCTGAACACTGGCCAAAGTGTAACGACCTCATCCGTCCTCACCAGAAATGGTGGCTTGCCTCCTTGCATATTACTTAGGGTTTAGGGTTTAGGGTGAAAGAGCTGCAGTATAGCATTAGGACATTAGGACCATCTATTGCAGCCAGAGCTCCATGGGCCAAAGGGTTTGGGGTTTAGGGTTTAGGGATATCTTTCATGGATTGTTCATGGTCTGTTAACACTTTACGTCTATTGTTGCTTTGTGGTTTTGAGCGTGCTTACCTATTTCATCATTAGCGCTTTCTTATGGGCAACTGATGGTTGTTTATGGGTTCAGCTATTTTGGACCTGCCGGACAAGCTCGGGACCAGAAAAAGCCCAAACCCAAGAGAAACCATAACGAAACAACTATGTAACAAAATCATATAAATCTCAACTGGTTTATGGGTGGGCTCCCTGTTTTGTATGTAGTGTTACTGCTCTTTGTTGGTGCCAGCTCTTTGGGGGCTGTTGGTGAGTTTCTTGAAGGTAAAGAACACAGCAAACACATGGTGTACTGAACATGTC